TATGAAATAACACACGTACTTAACTCATTGAAAACTTGCTTCCTTTGAGTTGCTAGTATCCTCATAGACTCGATTACAATAATGTTTAGATTGCCTCGAAATTTTCTTCGAGGATCACAGTCGGCATCAGAAGATCAAGAAGAGGGACTGTAAACCCGATAAGCGCGACATATACGTATGTCATAGTACGCAAATGGCTAAGTGAACGATGTGAATCAACTTCTGTCAAGCCGAAGAATACATTGAAGAAAGAATTTTCTCCGATAGAAAGTGAACAAATTCCCCAAAAGTGAATCTGTCGTTTTTAAGAACACGAACAGAGTCTCCAAAACCAGATCGAATACGATATATGTATCGAATCTGAAACACATTAGAGTGAATCTACATAGAAACATTAAGATAATTGACTCGTTCGTATACCCTATTGACGTGAAAAGTCGCAACAAGATGACAGTACTCTTCTGTTGGTCCATAGACCCCTCGTGTTGCTATATACCATGGTATGAAACCTCTTACTCTACCACCATTATTATAGACTGTTGAAGCTACATCTCCTTGAAGGCCAATGTTTCCTCCTCCGTAGGTAAGCTTGATTTTTCGCCTTACCAATTCACGTCCTAGATCAACCGCTGTAGCCATAAACCTTGGATTGCTACCAAGAGCATGACTACCAAGTAGACCAATGAATTTTATGGTATTAGAAAGAGCTCGAGAAGTTCCTTCCATTATGTGAGAATGTGAGACGCTCTTGCCACAATTTGATATATATAGACTCTGAAACTGGACCATTGATAGAAAAGTAATTATCACCAGCCTAAAAACGTACAGGAAAGTGGATTCGCCCCAGACAAGAACGTATTCGCCAATACTGCAATCTACTGACGACATGACATATTGAGACTCAAGAATAGTTAGGCTCATTGCCCTGAAATACATTCAAATCCGAGACGAAAAGTCAAAATGACTATTTACCTAAGACAATGACCCCTTGAGTAACTTCGAAAGAGTGAAACACTAAAAGATGAAAACCTACTATTTGCCACAATAATTCGCAAACGCTATATTCATATCATGTGACCTATATCCTTAAAATACTAAAACTTGCTGTGTTAATTATACACTTAAAACATCTCACTTGATCAAACTTATAAAAAATTGAATTCCATAATTTTTTAAAAAAAAATCATTGAGAACTTGTTGTAACTCATGACTCTCCCTCAAACCCAAGAAGATGTTTTATGATACCGATCTTCAAAAACCATACTCTGTAACGATTGATGTGACTACGTGATCTAAGAAAATTATTATCAATGATGATCAAGCAACTTTGCTTTAACCCTAACAAAGGAACATATGTGCAACAACTAGAAAGGAAAAGTTGTCATTTGTGTGGTGAATATCACCACACTGAAGGTAAATGTGATCTCCACTTAAGTCAATTGGGCGGACCACCAAGAGAAACCACGCATGTGTCTATAGAATCCCAAACATATTAGAATATGACTGTGTATAATTTGTCATGTTTTTAGTAATAAGTAATTTAACTATCGTGTGATGAATATTAGTGATATGACGAATACACTAATATTATAATTTTCGAGCACGAAACTCTATCATAATTATTGAGAAAGTTGGAAATTCCAAGGCAATTTTGGAATTATCAATAAGAAAATCAGTATTCAAGAATGACTACATATCATATTGATAACACAAACGGTGACAAAATAACAAGTGTTATCCAATACGTTCATCCAATCATTACAATGTGATAAAAACATATATTATTGTTGTGCATAAGTGTGATATGCATGTTTACGGTTATAGGCATCCATAAGCCATGTGAAATCAGATTGTTGACATTACGTTAGTCAGAATAACTCCATTAAGGATCGCTAATGAAAGTTCAAGTTTTGAAACTATAATTACATATTCATCTAAGAAACCTAGAATGATGACTATGGTAATAGTCATTTTCCAAAATACCCTTATGTAACAACATCAAACCTAGAAACAATTCATTCCAGATTGTACACAATGAAGCGTAATTTGTGAAACCAACATTCCAGACAAACTCTGAGAATGATTCTCAAAGAATTTTCAGAAACGGAAATTTTGTAAATTACCCCACATTCACGAAACGCAACCCATATAAGAATTCCTGAAACTCCTACAACACAAAAGAGCAAGTCTAAAGATATATATATTCGACGCAAGTCTCCGTGAGAGAAATCCAAGTACGTTACATTTATCATCCACGTATATTCTTTCTCAAAAGAGAAAATGTCATACTCATGACACTCAACAAAAGAAAGAGAAAACAACTTTTCAAAATTTGTGTGTTTTTTTAAAAAAAAATATTAATGAATATTCATGATTTTGTACATCATCATTTTAATTGACTTCACCTAAGGAAATTTCGGGGACGAAATTTCTTTAAGGGGGGAAGAAATGTAACGCCACAAGATATGGCCTAAAATTGAATTCCATAGTATAAGGGGAGCAAGATAAAATTAATAAATGAATTTTACATAGTATAAGTGTAGATCTAGACCTAGGGTCTGGACATCATTTGGATCTACTTTATCATATTTAATTAACAATTGGAATAATAATATTTCTATTATTACTCATCTATTTCTAGATTTGTACTTAATCCGTTGCACTTATATATCATAGCCCTTGGGCATACAATATTTTATCAATAAATAGCTAATTAAATATTTCGAGATTAATTAACTAAATAAGGCAAGAACAATTCACTAACCATTCCAATATTAATTTAACATTTAAAATATACAACCAAACTAGTCCGGACCCAGAGATCTGGACCCTAACTCATACTATGCAAACTGATAAGTCGTTTTTGGAATAGTTTTTTTATTCTTTTTTAGGCAATTTTAATATTTTTAGTGTTTAATTTTTAGTTCTTTAGTTTAGTTTTATTTTAATTCTCATTTTTACAATCTTTTATTTTTCTTTCATAAATAGTAGTTTTTTTAATCATTTTTTAGATTCTTTTATTTTTATTTTATTTTTCCTAACCCAAATTATCAGATATCTTATTTTTTGGAGAAAAATATAACAAAAGACCAAAGTGCAGTTCAAGTTTGGAAAGAAGATATTGAATTTGGGCTAGAGCCCAAACCCATCATCAAATAAACAAGTTAACCTGCCCATTGCATCCCTTATTTTCCTGATTCGCACAAGAAAGAGAAAAGAAGAGAAGTACGCGACTTCTTCTTCACCGCAGAGAGAAGAGCAATGCTACGTTCACAAACAGAATACTCACAAACTTCACAAACTTACTATTTATGGTTTAAATTTTCATTTTAAAATTAGTTTAGACTATTTAACTATATTTATTGAAGTTCACAAATAGTAAGTTTGTGAAGTTTGTGACAATTTTGTTTGTGAACCAAGCATTTTCCCAGAGAGAATCGAACCAATTTCTTCAACGCTCCAACATTCCTCCGTAAAATTCGCAACAATTAATCGCCAACGGGAAGATATCAACGGAAGAATGCTTTCTCTATAAATTTGAGTGGCTACCACTATCAACACGGGGGGAACATCGACGATTGAGAGCCGCGGCTTAGGCCGCGGCGGTGGGCGGTGGAGGAGGCGACAACCAGCGCGGCGACGGTAGTGGCTGCAGCTCCGGTCGGCGGTGGGCGGCGATCTCCAACTCCGGTCATGTCTCCAATTACTTCAATTTCATCTTCTTCTTCATCAATTGGTAACCCTATATTTGTCAATTTATTTTTCTTCTCCAATTTCTTTGTAAAAGTGTTGTTTCAATTCAAATTTACACTTTGTTTTCCTTGTTTGTGTTAATTTTGAAAACTTCTTAAAAAAATGGTTGGTGTTCTTTTATGGGTTTTTCTATGTTATTTTAAATCCCTTAGAATTGATTTGTACTATTTTTCTCCAATTATTGCGCAAATTGTTGTTAAATTGGTTAAGTTATAAATTTGATTTCATAAGTAGGTTGGTATGTCGAATTCTGTTATCATTGAAGCTAATTTAGCTCCATATTTTAGTTAAATGATTCTCGAATTCATACGTGAATCTCTTTTGTGACTTGTGTTTTGTAAAATTTTAAGGTAAATGAACTTCTTAGCCACATAAGTTGAACGTTTTCCTTAAGATTCGTTATAGAGTGATTCTTTATGTCTTGGTGTTCTTGTTTGTTATTTTCATAAAAATTGGGATTGTTTAAGCACAATAAACAACTCTCGATTTAATGAAAATATGTAATGTTTTTCCTTATGTGAATAGATTACAATTCTTATGCTTGAGTTGTTCAAGGAGACCTGCAAAATATTTTCATCATTAGACGTTAAAGTTTATTAAAGTGTATCAAATGTTCTTCATGAATACTTTGTGCATGGGAGTTAGAATGAAAGAAAGATTCGCTCTTTTATAAACTTTTTCATCTTTTGGAATTATTGTTTGAGCGCTTGAGGTGAGTGGGGGTTGAAAGTAACCAAAAGGCCATTGAATCTTTGACTCCGGGCCTTATAGAGAGTTGACGATCCTCTATATGTGGTCAAAGATATGAATCAACTCGAGCCTTTGAATTCTTTTCTATTCTTAAGTGCGTAAGTTACGTAATATATTGTCTAAGTGCTTATTATACGAGTAATGTTCTATTTGTGTTCGTTCTCTTTTTAATTTTGTTTCGGGTTCTTGGCGGTGTTTCTTGGGTTACCTTAGTTGGAAAAGTTGATTATCTTTTGAGCTTGTTTTCCCCCATTTTTATTAAAAAAACCAAAAAAATAAGAAAATATAAAAAACCAAAAAAAATATTTACTTTTCATTCAACCCCCCCTTGTGTTGTGTTTAAGTTATATTATAAGTTCTTTGTTTATATAAGTTATATTTATAAGTTTTTATATTTATTTTATTATAAGCTTATAAGTTTTATCATATGTGTAGTAGTTTTTTTATTTAATTTCGTGACAACGTGTTTGCATGCTATTTTGATTTCAAAAGTACAAATTTTCTCCATGGGATCGACCCTTACTTTCCCTAGCTATAGTTTTATTTGATTATATTGGGGGTTAGCTAAGGATATTTTATAAATTTTTAATTTGTTTTGGACCTCATGACAAGTCGTCAACTACAAACATAAATTAAAATAGAATTTTATTAAATAAAGAAACTTACAGCTTCCGAAAAAGCAGAATTGAATAGATTTGGATTCAAAACCTCCGAAAATACTTCAAAACTAATACTAAAACTAATATACAAAGTATTTTAAGCAATTGAGAGAGTGGAACCTGGAATTGGGTTGAGAATGGTGTGGAATGAGATGAGGGCCGCGCTGTATTTATAGGGCTGGAAGTACGGGCGTCCAACTTTGGACGCCGTTAGCCAAAATACGTGTTCCGTCTAGTCACCAGTCGCCACGCGGAATTGCCTCGTCACTCCTGCTTGCTTGGGCGTCCAACTACCACGGGCGTCCAACCTTGGACGCCCAGGACCCGATTTCAGCGCCCAATTACTTCAATCCATGATTCTTTGGTATTTTTGGCCCAGTTTTGCCCCGTATTGATCCGTCTTGCTCCCGAACACTGATTTTGACCTCCTAGGAGCTTATTTAAGACCGCATCTTGATCCCATGATAATTCTTTCTCCTTTTCTTGAGTATTTGAACATAAAATGGATTATTTATGATTATTTGAGGTTGGTGATCCATCAGGTGGGGATTCTACCCACCCAACGGAGAACACCTTCGTTTTTTGAGGTTGACCCGCTAACCTAGTGGGAACAATCATGACTCCCAAAAGAAGGTAGTAGTCCTTAGTTTGGAAGAGATTATAGGGACAAGTTCATGGTGATCCACTAACCACGAAGAATCCACTGGTTTTGTTGAGAACGAAAATGGGTAAGTGCCACGTAAATTGTGTGATGAATATGTTGTTACATGATATCACATAACGTTTATGAATTGTGGACTCGCTTATTTATTTACTTTAGCGTTAGATATTTCTCACTCAGTGTGATTGCTGGGCGTGTAATTTGTTGGTTTGCTACATATAAGTAATCAAGGACATGATGAACCTAGAGTCGCCCTGGAGGGCAATGAAGACAAAGAGATGTCGGCTAATCTAATTGATGATTTGGAATCAATATTTATTTCTAAACAACTTATTACGTTTTCGGGATGAGTCTCAAGTTGTGTTTGATTAAATAAATTATGCTTTCGCACCGTTTAGATTTTTATTCCGATGATAGATCTCATTATGAGAACTGTTTGGATGTTTTAAATAATTTTGAAAATATGGTGTGTTTAGATACTAGATTAGTAGCAACCCAGTTCGCAAACCTATGTATTCACGTTATGCAGATGGCCCCACCGCCAATCTCCACAACCGCATCTCGAGGCGGAGGCCAGGTTTCTAACCAGGAGAATCCCCAAGTCCCCATGCAGCAAGTTGTAGTCATAGGGAAAAATCATCTAGATTTCGTGTGGAACCCGGAGGAAACTGTGCATACAAGGGGGGTGATGCTGCCAGCAACGTCAACTCCCCACTTTACCACTTGGGTGAAACGTCCAGGACGAGGAGTCCCATGATAAATCCAGTAGCTTCTAGGCCATGGTGCAAGCAATGATGACAAGACCCGCCATAATGGGCTTCCAAGCAGAAGTTCCCACTCAGGATCTAGCCATGGCATTGCACAGGGGCCAACAGGAGGAACCACAAGTTCTTAAGGAAAATGTGGATTTTTTGGGTCAAGGTTAAGGGAGAAAATGACAAACCTGCTTGTCACGGTGAACCTACATAGCGCGTGGACCATTCAAGAAGTAGGAATGATGTGCTAGCCAGATAGCGATGGTAAAGCAACGGAGGGGTCAGTGCCAAAAAACCTTGGCCACATGCAAGGAAGACAAAGAGGAGCAAAAACGCCGCAAACCCCTGAAGGAAGGACAAGATGAAAGAAAATTGCACGTGTCCGTTTTTCAGTCGGATGTGCATGCCTGAGAAGGAACGATTACACAAACAAAGGGATACCGTCACTACGGAGCGGGAAAAATCGTTTTTTACAGAAAGAATAATTGATTTTTAGTGCGAATAATGCAATGACAGCAAGAATCAATCAATGGAGAAATGATAAAGGACATTTTTTCATATCTTGTTGTTTCCAACAGGATTCCTGAACCAAGAGGCTCCCAATCACATCTTCCTTTATTCAAAATTGATTTTGAATAATTAGAAAGATTTGTGTATTAGGGCTGTAGAATGAGTCCCAAAAATAATTCGTGTGTCAAACGATATCAAAAAATATTGGAGTAATAATATTTTTTCATCCCAAAAATATTTTCTAATATCAAAATAATCATCTTAAAATGTTTGACACATTTTTTTGTAACTGACTCAATAAATTTATTTTTGAACCGTTAAAAGATTTTTCAAATGACTCCAAAAATAAATATACTTTTTAATGTATTTCCATCAAGAAAAATAATTTTAAGTAAAAAGATATTTTGTCATCCTTACAAAATTTCCTAGACTTAAAATAAGTAAAATTGTTCGGAGAACATCTCCTTACTTCGAAATCTTGCGTAGGGAAATGAATCCTGAAATATTGTTGACGTAAATATCTTGATGTGTCTATTTTGCTTTCTTGAACCGAAAATAAATTTTCGTTCTGCGTTGCGCTTGTCATCTATCAAAACCTGAAAAAAAAATAATTTCAAGAAATATCTAAAGGGGTTTGAACTCATGTATAATAGCTGATGTTGAATATCTAGGAGTAGCTGATTGTTCAAAAGGAGAATGGATGGTTGTTTGTGATGTGAAACCACATGGTCGGGTTGATGCATATGTTACATTACAGACATTGAAAAGTATCATCCTAGAGAAGAATTTGCTTTTTGAGGCGATGCAAATGACTAGTATGATATATGATGGTGACATATCAATTAGTACAAATTTACAAATTTAAAGGTTGTATGTTATAACATTTCTTAAGAAATTCTCCCTAGCTTGTTTTATTCCTTACTTATTGTGTGTTAATATGTGATGATAATGATAATACATTCCTTTGATTTTGGAAAAGATCAATTTGTTACTTAAAATGCATGAATAGATCCTTAATACAAGTTTTATAATTAATTGTTAAGATTGAAAATTAATATATTTCTATAAAAGGTCGTTACTAAATTATGAAACCTATAGGCCTTTCACTATAAAATTTGAATAAGTCCCCTCCAAAAAGACATACACATATGTAAAATATTAAGTTTCTCAGTTTGTAATAACTCGTAGCTCATAATATCACCACACAAAACGATGGAGAAAAATTTCCTTTTTGCTTTGGTTGTTCTTGTTGCCTTTGCAGTTGCTACTGGTATGTCTTATCTTTCTTTGATTTTGAATATAAATAAATTTAATTTGTTTATTTTGTAACAAAGATATTTAGTCAATTTGCACTTACTATGAACCGAATATGCAAAAGGGTGTGATTGATAAGAGGGAACATTGATAATTATGTCCATGGTATGTAAGTATGATAACTTCCTACATGGATTTTGGATATTAATATACATTTGTAACAGATTTGAAAAAATAAATCTTAATTTAAAGTCTCAAGTCCGTGGTAAGACAATATATATCTAAAATATGAATTCTAGAGTCCATAGAAGTAAGAAAAAAACAAGGCTTGACTAAATTTTGGTCCTTTAAGACAAGAAATTCGGAATTTAGCATTAACATTTTGAAAAAACTATCTAAGGACATCGTTAAACTTTAACATTTTCATAATTAATTAACATTGTTAAAAATACCAAAAATGATAATTCATACAATGTTTTCATCCCAAACATGACCTTCATAATTGAATAATTTTAAATTATAACTCTGGATTGTAATAAAACTATTTTAATTTTTAACAAACTTTTTTGTTTATGATGTTTCTTTGTAGCTGAGGAAATGATTCCATTGGTCGGTATTAAGGGGTCATTGTTAAAACTTTAAGCATTTTCAAAATTAATCGACATTGTTAAAAATACCAAAAAGGCTTATTCTTATTTAATTTTGTTCCGAAACATGACCTTCATAATTGAATTGTTTTAAATTATAAGTCTGGATTGTAATAAATTTGTTTTAATTTTTAACAAACTTTTTTTCTTATGATCTTTCTTTGTAGCTGAGGAAATGATTCCATTGGTCCATATTGAGAGGTCATGCCAGACTGAGTTTCCTAGTGAATGTGAAGTAACTGATACCACCATTTGCATCGCTTCTTGTGCATCCATAGTCCCAAAAGGCACTCTACAAAGTGCTAAATGTGTTGAGAAAAGTCCTCAAAATGATTGTGTTTGTTACTACTCTTGTTAGTGAAACCAAGAATCAAGAAAAAATATTTTTTTCAATTAGATTCATTGCTTTATAGTTTTGTAGCTTATTTTTATATTTAAAACTTGAGTTTGGGAGGTGTAATTCTTCATAAGTTACTATATTGAAATATAAATGATAAGGAAAGTAATAAATTACAAGCTTAACGTGTTATAATATGAAAATCATTCATGGGCTTAAAGCCTTAAAGCGTCTGCGGTTTAGTTTGTTCCTTGTGACATAAAGAATCCAAAAGATAATTATATGCATACATGTGAAACATAAATTTTCATTTTCTTTTACTTTATTAAAAAATTGAATGAATGAATGGCCCAATAAATTAAAGTATCATAAATCATTAAATTTTAAAGTACTCACTTAATTCCATATAAGCTGTCTATTTTGTGTTTTTATAAACACTAAAAATAAATGAAAATAGACATAATTTTTATCTATATTTAATCACTTTTCAATGTATCTAAAGGTCCTAATAAATAGTTAATATGGAATTGAGAAAGTAAATTGCCAGAAATTGAATATAAACATTCTCAGGACATTTTAATTTTGTACCTCAAATAACTCTTTTGCTATTATGTGCAGTAAGAACACATGTTAATAAACCATAATCGGTGACTGGGAATGACTCCAATATGTTTACACTTTGATAAGATGAATGAGATGACATAATATGACCCTCAATTAAAAGAAGTGGTCATATTACAAAAATTCCACCTTACAAAAGAAATGTGTGGTTCACATGGCCTCATCTCATTCATCCTGTTAACATGTCGATCATCTCATTAGATTTAATCCATGTGTAACCTTTTAATTTGAAATTTATCTTTTCTCATGTATCTTTCTTAACCGAGATCATAGATGTAGATTATTTATATATCAATACGTTTTATGTTTGATTAATTTGAAGAAAACTATTGTATTTGGGTGCCATGGCGACAATCTTTTAATTATGTAACTACACAATTTATTTGGTTCCAACTTTTTCCAATTAAAATTTCATTTATATTTTTTGAATTTAAAAGTTTAAATCTATACATAAATATACGGGCCGGTTCCAGTGAGAATGACACTTACTGTGAGAAATGAAAATGATTTTTTTTGTTCGCCAAGCAAGGTGCCTTTTGCAAGGAAGGTAGTGTATTTTTGAAAATGGTAGAAAAGTTGGACTTATTTACGAATAACATATCTTGATTTTTATACTTCTTTATATCTTTTAACGTAACTTATCATCTTATGCAATCTCATTTCTTTCATTGTGCATCATTCTCATTCGAACCAAAATCTAGTAACATAAACTAATATTTTAGTACTAAGTTAGTATTACTAACTTAGAAAATTGTAAATAAAGTTAGTTTTTACATTTTTTATTAAAATTTTTATTGTGCATAACTTTTAATCTGTAAATCAATTTTGTTCATTAAATATATTTTCGGGAAGCTCTTGATAAATTCCACCAAATAACTTCATAGGTTCTCTAATTTTTGTCTAATAAAAACTTGTGGTTCATTTTATTTAAAACATAAATTATAATCGACTTCATAATTTATTACGATATATTCAATTGATAAAATTACACAAATAGGATCAAAACAATGCAGTTTTCCGGAATAAGGACTTGTCCTATTAGCTCTAATGTTTTAATAGAAAAAAGGACCAACCAAAGGGGGACTATCCGTACTACTGGAAGATGATGACCAAGATTTGAAAGGACTTTGAGCGGATGAACAACGGTGAACCATATATAATTAAGAAAGGATATGAATGTGTAGAATTTGGTAAAAACCGATCTGATTTCATGAATCAATAGAAGTCGTATATATACAAGAATACACAACGGGCTAGGTTACAAAGTGGGCCCAATACAGACTAAATACAAATACCCACTAACACTCCCCCTCAAGTTAGCGCATGAAGATCCTGAATGGCCAACTTGCACAACAAAAAATCAAAAATAGGTTTTGTCAACGGTTTAGTGAAGATATCTGCCAACTGGTATCGTGTCAGAACATATCTCGTCGACACCTCATGCCGCTGGACACTCTCTCGAACTATGTGACAATCAACATCCACATGCTTCATTCGTTCATGGAAAACTGGATTAGCTGCAATGTACAAAGCTGACTGATTGTCACAATATAATCGGGGAGGATATAAAATAGGGACACCTAAAGCTATAAGAATCCCTCGCATCCAGCGGACCTCCACACAAGCCTTTGCCATAGCCCTGTACTCAGCCTCTGCAGAAGATCTAGCAACGGTGGTTTGCTTCTTTGTCTTCCATGACACTGGAGAAGTCCCTAACATGATAAAATACCTGTTAACAGACCAACGGGACAATGGGCAACTAGCCCAACCAGAATCACAATAAGCGGAGATTTGTAAATTGCTGATAGCACTGAGAAATATGCCCTGACCCGGATGACCCTTGATGTACCAAAGAACACGCATGGCGGCATTCATGTGATCCAGAGTAGGGGCCTACATAAACTGAGATAAGATATGGACAAAATAAAAATATCCGGTCGAGTAATGGTGAGATAAATTAACCGCCCTACGAGACGACGGTACCGCGCGGGGTCGTGCAAGGCAGCCGAGGTCGACCGTCCGAGTGTATGCGTCGTGGGTAACGGCGTGTCCGCGGGTTTACACCACAAAATCCCGGCCTCCTGTAAGATCTCCAGAGCATATTTACATTGGCACAACACCATACCCAAAGCAGAATGGGCACATTCAATTCCCAAAAAATATTTAACCAGGCCTAAATCCTTGAGCTGAAAACACTTGTCCAAATAGTGTTTAAAACAAGTGCATAAAGAGGAGTTATTGTGTGCAACCAGGATGTCATCAACATATACCGAGACTGTAAGGATATCAGGGCCATGATTAAGAATAAACAGAGTATGATCCTTATGAGCTTTTTTAAAACCCCACTGACGAAGCGCAGTATTGAGTTTATGGAACCAATTACGTGGAGACTAGCGAAGCCCATATAAAGATTTCCGAAGACGGCAAACTTTGCCAGGAATAGAAAAACCAGGAGGCATACGCATATAAACCTCTTCAATGAGATTACCATTCAGAAATGCATTATTAACATCTAGCTGATGAATCTCCCAACCTCATGCTACAGCAACAGATGATAAAATAGGTACCGTGCCCATTTTTTCTACGGGAGCAAAAGTATCTGTATAATCCGTACCAAACTCCTAATGATTTCCCAAAACAACCAGACGAGCTTTATCACGCTCCTTTGTCCCATCTGAGTGAAACTTGGTATGGTAAACCCACTGACACCCAAGAGCCGTCCGATCGGGGGGAGATCAGTGACCTCCCACGTGTGGTTATTTTCCAAGGCTGTGATCTCCTGTTGCATAGCTTGTCTCCAATTGGCATATTGCATGGCTTGTTTGAAAGACGTTGGGACTTCACACGAAGTCACTGCAGCCATAAATCACCGGAACCTGTCATGCAATTTCTGATAATGAACAAAATTATGGATAGGATATCGAGTACCTGAAGACTTAGATGAGACAATGAGAGGAGCAATGGGAGCGGATGTCTGGGCGGTGTGGCAGTAATAATCAGACAACCTGATAGGAGGTCACCGATCACGGGTAGGACGAACGGGCGACGGCGGACTGTCCGGGGCAGACTCACCGTCGCTATCGGGTTGAGGAGGTGACTGCCCGAAAGAAGGAATGGACGCCGGCGACAGATGGGGATTGGCTGCGAGAACAACAGTGGGTTCAGCTGTGGGGAAATCCGCATGGTCTAGCCGTGTAGAAACCTCGGTTGGCGAGTTTGGTTTAGTGGACAAAGCAAACGAAAAACCGTTTCGTCAAAGGAAATATCTCGGGTATAAGTACGGACCATTTTGTTGTGGGGTGTTAACGCATGAAGTTTGATTAAGTACCTCCGTGGTGGTATAAAACTGACGCAAAGGTTTAATAACAAATTCAGTACCATTATCTGTGCGAACAACTTTTATAACTTTCCCAAATTGGGTTTGAATCATTTGGAAGAACTGTTTTAGACAACTAGTAACTTTTGTTTTGTCAATAATAAGGAAAACCCAAACAGCTCTAGAATAATCATCAACAATTGTGAGAAAATAATGAGAACCAGTAGACAAACACAGAGAATATGGGCCCCATAAATCACAGTGGATTAAATCAAGCAAGGCATCAGCTTTATTAAGGCTTTGTGAAAAACTAGAATGAGTTTGCTTTGAAAAGAAACAAATGTCACATGATTGAAAAGTTTTAATTTCAACTGTGCTTTTATTAAAAGGAGGTAAAGACAAAAACTTGAGGCGATGGATGGCCAAGACGCTGATGCAAAAGAGAGATGGATTCGACTTTGGACGCCTGGGCGAAATAAGGAAAGACATAAACCCCATTGCGCACTTCACATCGTCCAATCTGCATCCTCGAAGTTCGTTCCTGTATCACACAAAATTGTTCATCAAAGAAAACATGACGGTTATGAGAGTTTACAAGACAACTCACAGAGATAAGGTTGCACTTTAAATTAGGCACATAAAGAACATTGGTGAGAACCAAAGTCGGAGACACTCGTACTCGTCCACACGAGTTGGCCACAACACGTGCTCCGTCAAGCAGACTAATAGTATAAGGAGGTATAGATTTGATGTCCGTTAAAGTGGAGAAAACTCTTGTCATATGATGAGAAGCCCCGCTGTCTATTAGCCATTCATTTGAATTAATACCGGACGTACCTTGTAACTTGTCGGAAGTCGATGGCGATGATTCTAGCATGGAAAGAGACGAGCAACGTGATCGGGAGATAACGCAGAGAGGGATGGGGGTGCCTTGGTCACAGCATGGACCAAAGGTCCAGCGGTTCCCCTGTGCTGGCCTACGACAGTGGGTACCGGTTGGGCAGTAGACCGGCCTCCTCGGTTCCCACGACCTCCCCCTCGACTGAACGACTGACGACCACGTCCTCTGCCAGAGTTAGGAAATCCAATGATCATATAGCATCTGTCAACGGTATGTCCCAATTTTCCATAATGAGTACACTGATACATGTTTGGAGTTGTCCATGGTGTGGCAAACACCATGGCATCCGTGTGATCGCCACAAGAACGAACCACACTTTTATGTCGTTCTTCTTGGGTGATCAAATAGAACGCCTTGTTAAGGTCCACCAACGGTTGAGTTCCGTGTATTTACCCACATATGATACTGAATTGCTCATCATCCAAACCCAATAGAAAATCCGAGTTTTTGATTTCTCAGCCCGATCCTTCAATAGAGTCACCGCCTCACACTTGCACCCACAAGTGGGATCCTCCATTCCATACAACTTGTTCCAAATAGTGACAAATTGGTTGTAATAAACTACCACAGTTTGACCCTTCTGGCAAAGATTCTGTAACTCGTTTTCGAGTTGATAAATGTGAGGCTCATTTACCGTGCTATAACGCGCCTTCAAATCTGTCCACAATTCATGAACCACAGTTTGGGAAGCAATACTTGGTTGATCATTTCATCAACACTATTAGAAATCCAACTACAAATTGTAGAATTATTCGCTTCCCAAGCCTCAAGTTCCATTGGGTCTGTAGGTTTAGGCACACCAACGGGAGACAAAAACCCGGCCTTGCTACGACCCTTCAAAGCATTAACAATAGTCTTTGCACACGTATCAAAATTATCGCCATTCAAGACATGTTTCGTGAGAGCATTACCTGGGCCCTCGGAAGGATGGAGATAATACTCAAACGAGGGATCATGGATCAATCGGGTTTTCTTCGTGATAGACGTCATCGCCGATCTTCAAAGCTTGACACAAAAAAGGACTGAACCAAGACACTCTCGATCGCCGTGCAGATTCTGTCGAAGTATCGTCCAGCGCTGCCGAACACACAGTGAATGTCGACAGGAGAGACGACCGGCGTGGGTTACTCGATCGGGAGCAATACCGGAAAATCAGACGTATCGTGCCCAGGGTTGGGCTCTGATACCATGTAGAATTTGGTAAAAACTGATCTGATTTCATTAATCAATAGAAGTCATATATACAAGAATACACAACGGGCTAGGTTACAAAGTGGGCCCAATACAGACTAAATACAAATACCCGCTAACAGAATGGTTACTAAGACCTAGAGATAAACGTATTTGGAATTAATGGGTCTCATGCATATCAATACATCCTAAGCATCAGGTTATCATGTGGTTATTTTTCAACAGGTGGGCTTAAGACTAGAAATGAACTAAAGAAGTATATGGACATTGAGGACAAATGCGGAGCATGTGAGGAGGTACCTGAATCACTGGAGCATCTATTTTGGGAATACAAAATAGATAAGGAGGTTAGAGAACAAACTTTATCTAGACTTAATATAAAGTTTGGCAGCAACTCTTTTGAAGAGGTTGAAACCATGTTGAAGCATACTAAAACAAAAAGAATGAGAAATCTGAAGGGTGCCACTAGGGCAGCATGCTGTTACCAGATTTGGAGGATGAGAAACAGCAAAATTCACCATAAGAAGTACAATGTGGAGGCAGTTATCAAGAATATTCTTTTCTATATTAAATACTTCTCCATGTGTAAAAAGTAAATTACTTTTTGTTTGGCTATATTGAGTTTACATTGTACAGAATACTCCTTGGTTTATCATTATATTGTGAATTTTGTCCAAAAAAGGACCAATTTAGCCCTAAATGCCACTTAATAACAAAATTCTTTGACGTGAGGAATTTTTGAGAATCTTTATATATAAAATTTGAGAATTGAACTATGAGAATCATGACATTTGGTATGTTGAGCGAAACATTTTTTTAACACCTAATGAGCCATGTAATCATTGAGTCACTTCTATGGGTTTTTTTGGATGGCTTTAAGGATTTGATTTATTTTTAATTTATTTTGAGATAGGGAATTTAATTCTTCGTGCAAATCTCTTGCTCTTCTTTTGCGCCAGTCTCAGGTCTTCTTCTGCGCCAGTCTCCAGCTCTTTTCTACATAATTGACCATAGCTTTACCGATGATTGATATTTTCCCTCTCTGGAGAAATTCAGCCATCTTCTTTCGACAATAGCATAAGTTTGCCAATTCGATTGGGACTTTCCTTCGTTCGATTCCTATTTAATTTCCCATGATATACTTTCCTTTACAGATGAGGAATTTCCATCTTTTAGATATGCGAAAGGTTTTCTTATGGCGCACGATCAAGTACAAATTTCGATTGAATTTGTCTCGTAACTACAGTAAGTTTCCTTGTTCAATATCCAATATGCACAAGATTGCGATTTAGCTCATCTATAAATCAAATTGTAATTTAGGCATTTCAACAATATATTCTAAATTTTTAAGGAGTGCTAATACTTAGTACAATTGTTGAATTGACATGTCTTCCAAACCAATTCACCCTTTGTTGAAGATCAATCCAATGAGTGAATGTTGGAGAGTTTTGGTTCGTGTGGTTTGACTGTATAAGATGCTAGTTTGAATTATTGGTGAACACTTGAGCTACTACTGGCTAATAAAAGAAATTTTTGAGGTTGAGTGTTCATGCTACATTACCAATTAAGCGTTGCATCGTTTTGGAAATGCGAGAGATATGATCCATGGCCTAGAATTTGATCTAAAAAACATGACAAGACAAACTTAAATGATGCGTTAAAGAGATTTCCATTCCAAAAGTACAAACCATTTACCCTCGCAACACAGGCTACGCAAATGGCTTGCGTGGAATATCTAGGAGTAGCTCATTGCTCAAAAGGAGAATGGATTATGGTTGTTTGTGATGTATGTGAAACTACATGGTTGAGTTAAATGCATATGTTACATTATGAAAACTAAAAAGTATCATTCAAGAAAAGGATTTGCTTTTTGAGGCGATGCAAATGACTACTATGATATATGATGGTGACATATCAATTAGTAAAGATAAAGGGCACATGGTGGACCACATGGCGATGTTCCACTAATGACAAAGGGAAAAAAATTAGATGATCGTGATCATGACAAAGACGATATATTATTGAGTACGATATATGATGGTGACGTACCAATTAGTACAGATAAAAACCTAATTAGTGATAACGATATGATACCTAATTGATACAATATAAAGACACACAGTATTGGTCCAAAATGGGCATTCAAATAAACTACTAAAGTATAAAGTGATTTTAAATTGTTTTAAGTATTATTCAATCAAGCTAAATATAAAGTGCATTTCAACTTGTTTATATATATATATATATATATATATATATATATATATATATATATATATATATATATATATATAAGTTTAAATATGTGTGTGTGTGTGTGTGTATTAATAAGTTTTAGGTTTTATTTGGGAAATACTATTACTCCCTCTATCATACTAAAATTTATGCTCTTTGCTTTTTTTATTTGCTCAAAAATAGACTTCTATTTCTTTTGGAAAATGAAATAATGATTACAAAATTTACCCAAATTAAAGGTAGTATGTTCTAGCATTTCTCAAGAAATTTTCCCTAGCTTGTTTTATTCATTACTTATTGTCTGTTAATATGTGACAATAACGATAATATATTCCTTTCATTGTGGAAAAGATAAATTTGTAACTTAAAATGCATAAATATATCCTTAATACAATTTTTATAATTAATTGTTAAGATTGAAAATTAATTGATTTCTATAAAAGGTTATTACTAAATTATGAAACCTATAGGCCTTTCACTATAAAACTAGAATAAGTCCCCTCCAAAAATACATACACATATCTAAAATATTAAGTTTTTTAGTTTGTAATAACTCGTAGCTCATAATATCACCACACAAAATGATGGAGAAAAATTTCCTTTTTTGCTTTGGTCGTTCTTATTGCCTTTGCAGTTGCTACTGGTATGTCTTCTTATCTTTCTTCTTTTTTGAATATAAATAAATTTGTTTATTTTGTAACAAATATATTTAGTCAATTTGCACTCACTATGAACCGAATATGCAAAAGGGTGTGATTGATAAGAATGACAACTTCTTACAAGGATTTCGAATATTAATATAAATCTGTAATAGATTTGAAAAAATAAATCTTAATTTAAAGTCTCAAATCCGTGGTAAAACCATATATATCAAAAATATGAATTCTAGAGTCCCTAAAAGTAAGACACAAAATACTAGGCTTGACTAAATTTTTGTCCTCTAAGACAAAAAATTTAAAATTCAGCATTAACATTTTGAAAAAACTATCTAAGGACATCGTTAAACTTTAGCATTTTCAAAATTAATCGGCATTGTTAACAATACCAAAAATGATAATTCATATAATGCTTTCATCCCAAACATGTCTTCATAATTGAATAATTTTAAATTATAACTCTGGATTGTAATAAAACTATTTTAATTTTTAACAAACTTTTTTGTTTTTGATGTTTCTTTGTAGCTAAAGAAATGATTCCATTGGTCCATATTGAGGGGTCATGCCAGACTGAGTTTCCTAGTGAATGTGAAGTAATTGATACGACCCTTTGCATCGCTTTTTGTGCATCCATAGTCCCGAAAGGCACTCTACAAACTGCTAAATGTGTTGAGAAAGGTCTTCATCAGAATGATTGTGTTTGTTATTACTCTTGTTAGTAAAACCAAAAGTCAAGAGCACATCTTTTTTAAGATAAATTCATTACTCTTTAATTTTGTAGCTTATTGTTATATTTAAAAGTTAAGTTTTGGAATTGTAATTCTTCATAAGTTACTATATTAAAATCTTGATGATAACGAAGGTAATAAAGTACAAGCTTAAAGTGTAATAATATAAGAATCATTCATGGCCTTACCACTATAAGATTGAGCTTTTGGTTTAGTTCGTTCCTTGTGACATGGTATCCTAGATTTAATAACTTAGAGGTCACTAATTCAGAATGTACCGTCACTCATCGGTTTTTGAAAATTTAAGGTTTCATCACATGCAAGCCTAAAAGCAACTACGGTTTAGTTTGTTCCTTTTGACATAAAGAATCCAAAAGCAGATTATATGCATGCATTTGAAACTCAATTTTTCATTTTCTGTTACTTTATTAAAAAATCAAAAGTATTAGTGGCCCAATAAAACAAGTATCATAAATCATTAAATTTTTACGTACTCCCTTAATTCCATATAAGTTGTCTATTATGAGCTTTTATAAAAACTAAAAATAACTTAATAACAAAATTCTTTGACGTGCCAATTTAGGGGACTCTCATCGAAAATTTAGGGACCAATTTAGCCTCAAAAGCACGCCAAAGAGTTGAACCAATTTAGCCTCAAATGCAACTTAATAACAAAATTCTTTGACGTGCTGCATTTTTGGAATCTTTATCTTTATATACAAAATTTGAAAGTTGAACTCTCAGAATCGTGACATATGGTAGGCTGGGTGGAATATTTTTTAACATCTCATGAGCCATATCATCATTCAGTTACTTCTATGGGTTTTTTCGGATGGTTGTAAAGCTTTGCTTTATTATTAATTCATTTTGAGGGAGGGAATTTGATTCTTCATGCAAGTCTCTGGCTCTTCTTTTGAGCAAGTCTCTGGCTTTTCTTCTGCGGTAGTCTTTGGCTCTTCTTCTGCATAATTGACCGGAGCTTTATCAATGATCGGTACATTCCTTCTCTCAAGAAATATTGCCATCTTCTTTAGCAAATAGGGTAAATTTGCTTATTCGATTGGGAATTCCATTTGTTCGATTCCTCTTTAACTTCCCACGAGATACTTTCCTTCGCAGATGAGGACTTTCCCTCTTTTAGATCTGCATAAGGTTTTCTTATGGTGCAAGATCAAGTACAAATTTTGATGGAATTTGTCTCCTAATAACAATAAGTTTCCTTCTTCAATATCAAATACGCACAAGATTGCGATTTAGGTCATCTATAAATCAAACTGTAATTTAGGCTTTTCAACAATATATTCTTAATTTGTAAGGCATGCTCATACCTAATACCTTTGCTTAATTGACATGTCTTCCAAACCAATTCACCCTTTGTTGAAGATCAATCAAACGAGTGAAGGCTGAAGAGTTTTTGTTCGAGTGGTTCGACTGTATAAGATGCCAATTTCAATTATTGGCTAACACTTGAGATATTACGGGTAATTAAAAGAAATTTTAGAGGTTGAGTGTTCATTCTAGTTTACCAATTAAGCGTTGCATCTTGTTGAAATGCAAGAGGTATGATCCACATGCATGAACCATTTACCGGCTTAATGCGTTATAATATAAAACTAATTAATGGCCTTACAACAATTAGATTGAGCTTTTGGTTGAGTTGGTTTCTTGTGGCATGGTATCAGAGACATGATAACTAAAAGGTCACGAATTCGAAATTTACCGCCACCTAGTTTTTAAAAAGTTATGGTTTCACACGCAAGTCTTAAAGAAACTAAGTTTAATTTCCTGTAACTTTATTAAAAAATCAAAAGTATTAATGGCCTTATAAAAAAGAATCATAAATCATTAAATTTTGACGTACTCCCTTAATTCAATATAAGTTTTCTATTATGAGTTTTTATAAACACTAAAAATAAATGAATGTAGGCATAATATATATCTATAGTTATTCACTTTTCAATGTATGTAGAGGTCCTAATAAATACTTCCTCCGTCCCAATTTAAATCGCATGTTTTGATTTTTGGGCATATTTAAGGAAAATAAAAAATAGAGATGATTTTCTGAAATTGCCATTACTTTTTAGAAGGGGTGATGATGAATGAGAAGATAAGATGAAGAAGAGTGACTTATTTTAGGGGTAGTTTAGGTATTTTATTTTTAAAAGTTTACGAAAACAACTAACATGCAACTTATTTTGGGACGGAGAAAAAAGGAAACAGGCAATTTAAAATGGGACGGAGGGAGTAGTTAATATGGAATTGAGAAAGTAAATTGTAATAAATTGAATATAAATATTCTAAGTTCATTTTAATTTTGTGCCGCAAACAACTTTTTTACTATTCCGTGTAGTAAGAACACATGTTAAGAAACCGTATTACGTAACTCAGAATGACTCCAATATGTTTACAGTTTGATAAGATGAATGAGATGACATCATATGACCCTCATTTAAAAGAAGTTTCCATATTACAAAAATTCCACCTTACAAATTAAATGTGTGGTTCACATGGCCTCGTCTCATTCAGCTTGTCAACATGTCATCTCATTAGAGTTAATACATGTGTAACCTTTTCATTAGAAAGTAACCTTTTCTCATGTATATTTATCAACCAAGATCATAGACGTATATTATTTATATATTAATAAGTTAAGTTTTATGTTTTATTTGGAGAAAACTATTCTATTTGGGTGCCATGGCGGCAATCTTTTATTTATGTAACTATAAAATTTATTTGGTTTTAATTTTTTCCAATTAAGATTTCATTTATATTCTCTAAATTTAAAAGTTTAAATCTATACATTAATATAGGGGACGGTTTCGGTGAGAATGACCCTTACCTTGAGAAATGAAAATAATTTTTGTTTGTTTGCCAATGTGCTTTTTGCAAGGAAGGTACTTTTTTTGAAAGTGGTAAGAAAGTTGGACTTATTTACGAATAACTCATCTTAATTTTTCCACTTTTCTTATATCATTTTACAGATCTTATCATCTTATGCATTCTCCTTTCTTTCATTTGGCATCATTTCCATTTGAACCAAAATCTAGTAGCATAAACTAATATTTTAGTACTAACTACTAAGTAAGTACTACTAAGTTAGAAAGTTGTAAACAAAGTTAGTTTTTACATTTTTTAAATTAATATTTTAATTGTGCATGACTTTGAATATGTAAATCTATTTTGTTCATTAAAAATATTGTCGAAAAGCTCTTGATAAGTTCAAGCAAATAACTTCATAGGTTCTTTAATTTTCGTCTAATAAAAACTAATAGTTCATTTTATAAAAAACATAAAGTATAATGGACTTCATAATTTATTACGGTATATACATTTGAGAAAATTAGACAAATAGGATGAAAACATTGTAGTTTTCTGAAAATAGAACTTGTCCTATTAGCTCTAACGTTTTAATAGAAAAAAGGACCAATTTAGCCTCAAATGTCACTTAATAACAAAAACATTTTACGTGCTACATTTCTGAAAATCTTTATATATAAAATTTGAGAGTTGAACTTTCATAATCATGACATTTGGCAAGCTCAGTGGAACATTTTTTTAACACCTCTTGAGCCATGTCACCATTGAGTCACTTCTATGGGTTTTTTATGGCTTTAAGGCTTTGATTTATTTTTAATTTATTTTGAGGGAGGGAATTTAATTCTTCGCACAAGTCTCTAGCACTTGTTTTGCGCAAGTCTTCAGCTCTTCTTCTGCGCTAGTCTTCGTATCTTCTTCTGCGTAATTGACTAGAGCTTTACCGATGATTGGTAATTTCTTTCTCGAGAGAAATTTAGCCATCTTCTTTTGAATACAGGGTAAGTTTTATTACCCTATATTGTGCGGATGAAATTTAGCCATGTTCTTTCGAATATAGCAAGCTTCTTGCACGTAATTGACCAGAGCTTTACCGATGATCGGTACTTTCTTTCTCCCAAATTCATCTTCTTTCCAATTGGGAATTGTAATTCTTCATAAGTTACTATAATGAAATATAAACGATAACTCTTCCGAAGATCCTGGAACATCTTATTTCTACCTGGGTGCATAGTGTACACAGTCCCGTGAGTTTCGCGAAGAAGGCGTTCTTTGTCCTCCCTGCTGGTACTATCACGTGGTCCCGATAAAACAAAATTCCATTGTATCTAACAGAGAAGTCTGGTTTTTTCACCCCGAGAGGTGAACTCGCTAGTCTGGATGCGAAAATCATCTTTGAGCTGTGCTGAAATGATCTTCTTGTATAACGTAGGTTGGACTTGAAGTACAGCTAGAGTCTTACGACTAAGGGAGTAGGTCACCACATTCGCCTTATTACCCGGGTGGTAAGCGATGTGACAGTCATAGTCCTTAATCAACTCCAACCATCTTCCCTTTCGAAGATTCTAGTCCTCTCTAATTAACTGGTACTATCGACTTTTTTGGTCGGTGAATGTGCAAGTCGTCTCACCATATCTTTAAGGCAACTACGATCGTCATCGGTTCAAGGTTGTGCGTAGGATGATTTCACTCATGCCGCTTTAGTTGCTCGAAGCTTTGTTGTCAGGTGTCAATCTAAGCAGACTTCACATCTTTTTCATCAATTTCTGCCAATGGTTTTACAAAATCGATGGATTCTAAACAATCTATCAGAATTTTATAAAATCTAGATTGAATACACCCCCTTAGTTTTTTTAGGTGATAGTTTAATAAGCTCATCTGAGAGTTTTTTTATGCCGCTTCACTTCGTCGCATTTTCTGAACCGTTAATATTAGTGAAAAGTTGTACAATTTAATTCTGAATTTCTAATTATATAAATCACTACTCCAATTTTTTTATAAGAGATGCTAGGGGTACACCTAGGTGTACCCCAAATGTACACCACTTGTCTCTACACTATTTATTTTATTTTATTTTTATTTTTTATTTATTTTTGAATTTTACATGCCTTTTTGTGGTTATGGAGGGGGTGAGGGATATTTGGAGTACACTTTTGGTGTACCCCTAGTATTTTCCATTTTTTATAAATAAAAAAAATTTATAACGGAGGACCGAATTAGGGATTGACCCAGTACAAACAAATTCTAGGACTAGTCCGGATATGGGTATACTCCGGCCCCTGTGGCAAGAGGATGGGAGGGACCGGGGCCGGCCTATGAAAGAAATACTCTTAGAGGAATAGTATCAAACAGTTTATGGGCACAAGAGAAGAGGGAAAACTGAGTATATTAGGCTTGAAAATGTTGGGAATTAAACCACACAACACACACAAATATCTGCGAGAAACGGAACACAAACGACACACAAGAATTTAACGTGGTTCGGTTTCCCTAATCCACAGCTGCAACAGGAGGATTTTCTTATTTCACTTGTGGTGCCGATTACAAGTACAAGAATGCAATATATATAAGAAGAGTGCATCTAGGGTTTCGTAACATGGGCCGGGCCAAAAGTCAAGCCCAAGCCTCCACAAACCCAACATTCTCCCACTTGGAGGCTTGATAGTCATCAACTGCCATCCGCCACGATTGCCTGTACATCGAGTAATCTTCCTCAGCTCTCCTGTTGCACCGGCTCTCTCATCAGACAACTGAAAGGCCTGTTAAAGCTCTCCCAAGCTCCAACACATCAGCCATGGCTAAATCTGCCCATGACTCGTCCTCGGTCCCTACCGGCTCCCACTGCAGATGCACACTACCGGATCCTGGAACATCGTGAGAACAAACACTCTCCGTACTCAGCAAGAAATTTTCTGGAGATGTTCCAACAGTTGGAATACTGGTTCTCTTGACCCACTGTCTTCTAGGAAACTTGGCTGAAGCGCCTCTTGAGCTCCCACTGCCACAAATACCTCTGACTGGCCTCCTTGAACCTTTCTTCGCTCATTCATCCTGAGTCTGACATGTGGCTCTAGGTTTCTCTCTTGCATAGACAACCTTATTCTGCCCACGAGACTCTGAGAACCAGACTTTGTTTCTCTTCTGAACTGGGACGGTCACTCCCTCAGATGGTAACTCGACCATATACAGCGAACCTCTTTTCTTTCCACGGGCCATGACAAGATTTCCCTTCACGACCTTCCACTGTCCATCTCTGAACTTCACCTCGTGTCCCTGTTCGTCCAACTGCCTGACAGAAATCAATCTTTTTTTTTAAGGCTGGAACAACTCTGACATCCTTCAAAGTCCAGAAACCGACTGGGGTCTTCAGCACTATGTCACCCATGCCCGTCACCTCAAGAGCTCTATCGTCCGCAAGTCGTACCTTTCCAAAGTCTCCAATAACCAGATTCTGCAATGCTTCACCGCTGTGGGTAGCATGAAATGAAGCACCAGAATCCATGACCCAAGAATTCACATTGTTTTCCTCACAGCAAGTCAGAGTGACTTCCTCGTCACTTGCAGAACCTTCAGCAATGTTCACTTTCTTGTCATTCGGGCATTGATTCCTAAAATGCCCTACCTCCTTGCACTTCCAGCACGTTACACCTGAGCTGTCGCGAGTCTTCAACTGACTCCTTCGTCTGTTTCCGCTCCCACTACCTTTGCTATTTCTTCTGCCTCTACCAACATGAAGCAATTCACCCGATGACTCCCCTGAACTCTTTCTTCTGACATCCTCGCCAAGAACGAGATCTCGAATCTGATCAAAGGTGAATCCATCAGGTCCCACTAAACCGGTAACCGCTGTAACCGTTCCGGACCAACTATCAGGTAAAGACGATAGCAGTAGTAAAGCTTGAACTTCATCATCGAACTTAATGCCCACTGACAAAAGTCTGGCTAAGATCGAATTCAACTTGTTGATATGCTCGGTAACTGAAGTGCCTTCTTTCATTTTTGTGTTCACCAGCTCTCTGATCAGAAAAACTTTGTTAGCTGCAGATGGCTTCTCGTACATGTTAGACAACGCTTCCATAATTCCCTTCGATGTCTTCTCCTTCAGAATGTTGAACGCAACATTCTTGGTCAACGAGAGACGGATCACGGACATTGCTTTCCGATCCAAAACTGCCCAATCTGCATCCGACATTTTTTCTGGCTTGTCACCCAAAACCACGTCCAAATCTTTCTGAACCAGCAAATCTTCAATTTGCATCTTCCACCAACTGAAATCTGTACCATCGAACTTCTCAATTCGAAACTTCCCATCTTCTGTCATCTCCAACGACAAGATAAGATATCCGGTACAACTAATTTCAGATCTTGATATTTTTATCAGATAAGATATCTAGGACATTAAAAATTGAAACCACCCAAAAATATTCACCCACCACTAATAATCACGCCACAACACCAAAAATTCCACAATGGCCCCCACACCTTTTTTTTTCTTCAAAAAATCACTCCACCACCCACAAATCACGGCCCACCTTTCCTTTTCATCAAAATACAATCACACCACCTCCCATATATCACGGTCCACATAAAATACTCCACTCAATAAAAGATTGAACAGTACCTGCCAAAAGAAAAAATTTCCTTTTGGTCACTGCAGAATGAAGGTTCTGAATCTGGACACTGCAGCTGGAGACTGCTCAAACCAGCAGCTTCGACTGAGGACGGCGGCGGTTCAGGATCTACAATCGATGGCGGCCACAGCTCCTCCACACGGCGGCTCCTTCTACCGTTGCTCCTGCATGCGGCGGTCGGAAGGCAAACGGTGGCGGCGATCTGTACTGGACGGCGACGGCTTGACGAGGGGAGGCTACGACAGTTCGCGGATGACAGCGAACAACCTTCCCAAGCCTCTCACCTTCCTTTGAACCAGCGGCAGAGGGAGATCGACGGCGGCAGCGGTGACTCAGCGGCTGCTCCTGCGCTGGTACGGCGGTAGCGGCTCCTTGGCTTGCTGCGGTCCCCCTCGAACCAGCAACGGCGACGGTCTGGTTCTGCTTGATTGAAGGCGGCAGCGGTGAGTCTCACGGGACTTACTTCCTGCTGCGGCAGTGCTCCGTGGGTAGCGGCCCAAACACAGGCTCCTGCTATTGCACACAAGGTGACACTGCTCTCTGATTAGTTTCTGCTCATCGGATTTCCGGTGTTGACGAACCTGGCTCCGATACCACTTGTTGGGAATTAAACCACACAACACACAAATATCTGCGAGAAACGAGAGAAACGGAACATAAACGACACACAAGAATTTAACGTGGTTCGGTTTCCCTAATCCACGGCTGCAACATGAGGATTTTCTTATTTCACTTGTGGTGCCGATTACAAGTACAAGAATGCAATATATATAGGAAGAGTGCATCTAGGGTTTCGTAACATGGGCCGGGCCAAAAGTCAAGCCCAAGCCTCCACAAACCCAACAGAAAATGTGTAAATGTAAAGACAAAGTAGATGAGGCAAATCTCTAATATTATTCATCCAAGAGGAGTATGCCTTTTATAGGCTAAATAAAACAAGAAATTAGGATCTAAGTTTTCCACTACAACCACTATTTAGAGCATATTCCACTAAGCTTAAAAATAGATAAACACAACCAATTAGTCTATCTATCCCATAAGAATAGGTAAATCCAACTAAACAGCCTGACTTAGTAAAAATCAAATGACCAATTAAAATAAATTGACTTTTTCTAACACGGCCGTCTTTCGCAAATTATATCCTACATCCGGTTGTACGGGAAGAACCATACAGTCGGAAAAATTTAGAATCGGAAAAGGGAGAGAACGGGTCGGAGCATGGCATGTGGCAATTGAAGAGGAAGAAGAGGAGGCTGCTATGACAGGTAGATCCAATCGTATTGAGAGCAGAGGTCCGACCCGGCGTGGATCGTGGAAGAAGATGATGATGACGATCGATGATTAAGAGCAGAGATCTGATCGACTGGGCTTCCTAACTTGTGGATTAGGGGAAATCCAAGAAGATCTGATGAAGATGCTTGAGGATAATGATGGTAGTAAAATTTTCAATTGTGAAAGAATTGAACAAAATTTTATTTGAGAATGAGTCTTTCCTTATTTGAGAATGAGTATTGCTTCTTTTTAAGAATGAACATTACGCTATTTATTATAATTATATTAAACAAAAGTGTAAAAATGAGTACTTCGTTTTTTAAAAATGAATACTACCTTATGTCAGAATGAGTACTACGTATTTCGAAATGAAATTTTATATTTGTACGAAAAAGTACTACTCCCTCTGTCCACCATAGATCTTCCCAGTCACTATTCACATAGTCAAACTTTACTCACTTTGTTTACTCAATTTTACTAGTCATTTCATCAAAAAATATATTCTTGTCACCTCTAGTTTTGTAGAACTTTTCATATAGTTTATTACTATATAAATTTTATTTTAAAATTTTACTCTTATAATCAATTAAATTGAATTGAAAATAAAGTCGGTCAAGCTTCGTAACGCGTAATGGGCGTAATGGGAAGATCATGCATGGATCTAACAGGTCTTCTAATGGGAACCAGAACCCGGACGCAGGCCTAGCTACAGACAGATTACAGATGGCCTAATTAAATTCACTCCTCTGGCTTCCTTCCAGCAAATTCTACATCGTCCAACCGGGGCCGAGCGAATTGGGGAAGTACAAGCCTGTCTGACGACATTCTACCAACAAATAGGCCGTCGCAATGGATTCCATGCCGGTGAATTGGGAAGTACTCGACAGTCTGATATTCGATTTCGCCAAATCGGAAAACCTTATTGATGACTCACTGGCTCCGATTTCACCTCAGTCGTCGCCGTCTCCTTCCTCCTCCTCCTCCTCCCACTCGCGGCTGCTTATTAGAAAAATTAGGCGTTCTATGGAGGCAGGAGATGTCGATGCTTCCTTGGATCTCTTGCGTCTCCACGCGCCTTCCCTTCTAGACGATCACCGCCTTCTTTTCCGCTTAAAGAAGCAGGTATTTTGTCTGGCCCTTCTCTGTTAAAATTGAAGTTTTATTCAATCTAAGATTCGAATTGGGGATAATGGATAGAAATCTTTTGACCTGGATGGATGAATGCTAAATTGATAATAGTTTTGCTTTTATTTTTTTGGGTGGGGGTGGGGATGGGGGTGGGGGGATTCTGAAGGCATCCGGGCTTAATAATCCATAGTGGGTATGGGAGGAACCTGGTTCTGTATGAGGCTTTTGGAGTCGAATTCATTTTGAATGTGTTGGCAAACAAAGTTTAGCAGCGGAAATATCTAAGCGGATATCAGTTAAGGTGGGTAAAAGGTTGTGGTTTGTATAAAAGATACTCCGTACTTTGCTTTTGGTTACTTAGGAGAATGCTAAAACATACTCCCTAAAACTAAAATGAGAATATCAAGATTCAGTTTGATCCTATCAGCATTTTCAAAGTGACATTTTGCTTAGCATAATGCTAATTCAAAATATGATTTACGAACACATCATTCAGCATTTTGACCAGTCAAAAGTGCTGTTTTGGAGTAGGATTGGATGATCTTCGATATTTTTTTGTGGCCTTACTATGATTTAAGTTTGTTTTAAACCACGGAACTAAATGTATTATGGTACTCCATGAACAGAAATTCATTGAGCTTCTAAGAAAAGGTACAGAGGAGGATTCTAAATCTGCTATGGAGTGTTTGCAGACATCTCTAGCTCCATGTGCATTGGATGCTTACCCAGTAGGTCCTACTTTTTTCTAATTCCAAAAGGCGGGATTCTATGTAGAAGTTATTGTTTCACGCTGAATGCTTCATAGTTGAAATATAAAAATGTAGCCTCAATATTAATTGTAGTTTGGGGGTCATATGTAAGATTAGATTGCTCTGTCCATTGTCATTTGACAATGGAGTTAAAAGAGTCATTATTGACAATGTTTTAGTTTCAGGCCCATAACGGACTAAATCAAAATTACACATTATACTTTACGTGATTCTTATTTTCTATGGTGTTTTGGGCAGTAAATGCAGCAATGCATCAAGGGTCTATTTGAAACATCTGAAACAACCTCTTTGTTTTTATGGGATGAGACTATCGTTGGATGCGGTACCGGTCCGTTATAGTTCTGGTTCCGGAACCTCATATCTCAAGTAGGGCGGAACCGTGACTGGTACAGTGGTACCGGCTCGGGGGGGGGGGGGGGGTTCCNTACTTTAAAGTATTTGTTTATTTGTAGATATTTTAATCAACCTAAACAAATGATTAAATAAGCTTAGAAAAAAAATTACACCACTTCCGGCTCTCTTTTTAAAAATGAGATTATTAACTGGAACCCTTCCATGGCGCTTCTAGTTCAGATCCCGAACCTAAGGTTCCGGTTCTGGCTTCAAACCAGAGCCTTGTCTGCCCTTGGGTGAGACTGCATACATCTAAACCCCAGGACCCCAACAGAGTTGGGATCATACTAGGCTGTTGCCTTCATCCTTGTTGTTTCTATATGTAAGATTAGATTGCATATAAATTCATTTCGTTTTGCACTTTCATGGAGTTGTGACTTGCGATACATGTAGTTGCTATTTGCTTTTTATTTATGAGTTATGTTCCTTGTTTTAAGCAAAAAAAATATAGTTTTGTAGTATATTTATCATCGGTATGATTAGATTGCATACAAATTCATGATGTATTCACTCTTTCATGAGTTTCATCAAGTTGTGGTTTGTGGTGCATGTTGTTGCTGTTTGTTTTTTAAATTCTGAAATATGTTTCTTTGTTCGTGACTCCATTTCCGATGGAACTATTATTCACAATATTTTAGTTTTGTGCAAATAATGGACTAAATGCTTGTTCTTCTCGCTTTGATTTTATCGGGGTCGGGATTCCAGAGGGTCGTTTGGAGCCTTCTCGTCTGTCGTCCAAAGAGTAACTGGAGTTAAAAGTTGAAATGTACATGGCTTAATCAAAGTAGCACATTAAACTTTCTCGTCCTTGTCAACTATCTATGAAGCTTTAGGTAGTAAATACAGAAGGGTGTAATGGAAACAAGTAAACATCTCTGTGTTTACAGAGGTAAGGTTGTGTTCGTTTACCCGCAGACCCCAACATAGTTGGTAATCTACTGGCATTTTTTCTATTATTTTTTCTTTGTTGTTTCTTTGTTTCTAGTTGGTAGTGAACATGTGATCTGGTAGGCATGAAGCCATGAACAATCGTCCCTGAGTAAGAACTAAGGAATGTACCTTGAATTGATGCTCCTTTCAAACTGGTTGAGTGTTTTATTGTCATTCATCCCAGAATATGTACAAATACAAGCAGATATGTGTCAATTTTTCTATAATAGCTTGCAATGTCATAAACTACCAGATATAAGTTAAGAATTAAAACTGGTGGCAATGAGAATGAAGTTTTCATTCCCCTTAGTATGGAAACATAGCATACAATTTCAGAACAGTGTTCATATATTGTTTGATTCAAAAAACATTTTGTCGCTCTATGAAACCGGAGAATTTGTATATCCGGCCTTACAAATAACTATTTCTGGTTTTGAAGGAAGCCTATGAGGAATTTAAGCATGTTCTTCTTGTACTTGTTTATGACAAAAATGATAATAGTTCTCCTGTGGCGCATGAGGTGAGTTGTAATTTTCTTCTTATCTGCTGTGTCCCTTGTTATACTTACTTAGCATTGAAGTATCATTTATTTTATCTAGTAGTTTTTCTATTGTAAAAAAGTAGAGGAAAGAAATTTGAAGAGTACTTTTTCTCTTTTTCCTTCTAGTGGTCAGAGAAGAGGAGGTTCGATCTTGCTGGGTTGCTTTCCTCGCTGTTGAGGGCACATTTACATGCTTATGATCCACTCTTTGCAATGACATTGAGACACTTGATAAGGTATTAACGTGACTCTGATTTCCAGATTTATGCAGCATACACTTATGTCATTTCATTCATTTGATATGAGGTCTATTTTATGACACATACTTGTAATGGCAGACAGCTTGATATGAATTTAATTTTATTGATTAAACAATCTTAATTGTTATAAATAAAAAAGGAACGTCTTGCAACATTATAATGAATTCTATTACACAACATGCAGCATACATAAAAATGTTTGCTCTCGACAAGGAGTTTCATCACCCATTTCAGATCTTATAGAGAGATTGCTTTTTGAGGATCGAGATCATCCAGCAACACCTACAGAGAGTCTATATGAAGCTCCTCCATTTGATGAGGTAAAGTATGTTGGGTACTATGAAGTATTTATATTGTTACTACAACAACAACAATAACAACAAGCCCAATAAGAGTAGGGTCTGAAAGGGTGCACGCAGACCTTATTTTAGTGTCCTACTAAAATTCCGAGCAATAAGCTTATTGTGATCATCAGATCTACTGAGTATCTACTGAAGCAGGGTTTTACCAAAACTATTTTAACATTATACAACAACAAACCAAATGAAATCTCACAAAACGTAGGGTCTGTGGAGGATTTGTACACAGTCCTTTATCCCTACTCGAAAATAGAGAGGCTATTTCCACGAGACCCTCAGCTCAAGCACAGAGAGCGACCAACAAACAAAGTCGTAGCAAATAGCAAAGAGCAAATTAGAAGCAATGAAAACTACCAAAGGTAAAAGCAAACAAACTAGTACCTAAGAGCAGACTAAAAGCAAAGAAAAGTGCACAGACCCACACGAGCAACAACACATCCAACAAAGAAAGCAACGAAGACAAGAGTAGAAAACACCCACCCAAAGAGACTACTACTACCAAGACCCAATCTTCAGACGTTCCTATCTAATATCATATCCTCGGAAAGGTCCAGAAGTCATAAGTCTTGTCTAGTTACCTCCTTCCAACTCTTCCTAGGTCTACCCCACCCCCACCCACTACCGCAAGTCTCACGTATCTCCGCACTAGACCCTCAATACTTGGCCGCTTTACGTTCCCAAACCATCTCACCCTAGCTTCTCGCAACTTGTCTTCCATAGGTGCCACTCCCACCCGTCCCAAACAAGCTCGGTCCAAATCATATCCGCCCATCTCTGTCACATGAAGTTGATGAGAATGGGTTTCTTCACTGCCCACCTAGTTTTTCACATTATCTTGATCACAAATGGAAGATCATGTATATATACAATAACCCCTCACCAACACTACCACCAGTACGCCTACATAAAATGGCCATCACAATTAACATGTTTCATTGTTAAATAAGGTGGACATACAAGCTCTTGCTCATGCTGTTGAAATCACGAGGCAAGAAGCAGTTGATAGCTTGAGGTTTGCTAGGGGTGATGTATTTCAAGCATTTCAGGTATATATTGTGGGAAAACCTGCTGTGTACTCAAATGATAAAATATTTGTTGTTCAATAGCTACTAAATAGATATCTGGGATTCTAATCAAATAATAGTGTGAAAATTTTATGTCGCATTTTTATAAACAAGTACATTGCTCATTTTTTGTAAGTTAAGTATTGCAATTTCTCATGCTCAATACAGGGTATTTTAAAGATATTGACGTTAGATAGTTTCCAGAATGAAATGCGTCAATGTGTGTTGAAGCTTTGATGCATTTACATATTTTATGGAACTAACTTTTTTGCAGAATGAATTATGCCGTATGAGAATGAATGATTCTGTGCTTGATGATCTTGTACACGAGTATTGCATTTATCGAGGTTTTGTGGCCTTTGGTGTTGCATCCCCTTCAAGTAAATTATTTTACATTTTCTTAAGTTATCTTTTACTCAACTCGTCCCTTTTCATGTTTTCCAATTGTGTGGTTGAGATTAATTTAGAAGCGAATGAATCAAATGGACACAATTCCTCCCTTAGAAGGGGGATATTAATTAAAGGCCTTAGGGATGGAGTGATGGACCAAAAAGGAAATCTGGAAGAAAAAAAGGTTTGGAGGGAGTAATATTTAAATGCATTTTGTTCCTCAATTTCTGACTGTTACTATTTTCAGCATCTGGAATTCAAGGTGTTTCTGGAGCAGTAAATGATGATGGACCAGAGTCTGATTGTTTATCACTGAACCCTCCATTTCGAATTTTCCCTGGAAACTGCAAAGTTTCTGATGGTGAGGCATCTCTTAGTAATATTTGCATGGAAGCCTCACCTAATAGCAGTATTGATACTGTAAGTATGCAAACTCCTGATGTTGAAGAGCGTTTCTTTTGTGAGACAAATATTCCTGAAGACTGCAGCACCAGTGGAACACATCTAGATGGAAAAGTTCCACTGAAAAATGGAATCCATAGAACTGTGGGAAAGAATAAGCGTAAGCGGTGGATGAGGAGAGATGAGAAACTAGATTATATGTCAGAAGCTACATTCCAACAAAGCGGTGAAGAGGTTATATCAAGCACCTTGGGTGCTTGTACAAATGTTCTGTAATAGTATATTCATGCATTGTTTCTAATTCCATTTGAAATGAAATTTTGGTTTATCTATTTTGCAGGCTTCTCAAAAGTTACCCGCGGTAAAGTTTGGATGCACCAGAGAATATGTATATGAGACTCTTCTGGGCATTAAAGAGCTAGCAAGCAAAGGAATGGCTGCAGAGGTGGTTGATGAAATTAATGCTTTAGACCCAAGTTTTTTTGCTCAGAACCCAAACTTGCTTTTTCAGCTTAAGCAGGTTTGTATAGCCTCATATTTAATATTGCTATCTGAAATCTCATTTCCTAATTTTATTTTTAGCTGGTTTGGCTTTTAAAACTAGTGATGTAATGATGATTCCTATACTGGATGTAGGTTGAATTCTTGAATATGATCAGTTCTGGTGATCACTCTGGTGCGATAAAGACAGCCTGCTCTTATTTGGGTCCTTTGGCAGCTAGTAATGCTCAATTGTTGAAGCCTTTAAAGGAAACATTATTGAGATTGATGTACCCTAATGAAGTACTGAGTGAACGCTCGCCACTGTTTGGACTAGCAACGTCACTGCAGGTAGGACACAAGAGATTTCGTGAATTAGAATATCTCCTTTTTTTGCTAATCCACACTTGCCATTTTGGGCACCTCCAATCATACCTTACTTTGGGCAATTTTGCACCAAATTAAATTATTCTACAGTAAATGGTGTAACTCTTTCCTACGCATTGCACCATTTTCTCATAGAAAAGAATCTTCGGTATGCATACTTATTTAGTTTTGTTACGCCATATATTTTATTATACAATTCTACTTCCGTTACACGAATTTCATATAAAAAGAAAATTTTATAATCTATTCAATTTTTAGCTATAATTCATTACATAAACTCTATATCTATGATAATTGATAGATTATATTTTTGAAAATCAATGTAACAAATGCTTTAAAAATCATTGCATGTAAAAAAATTTAAATAACAAACTGCAATGTTCTTAAAAAAGAAATAGATGTTCAACTTTTTTTGAAATTAAATGAGCAAAAAAATTTAAAAACAGAACAATTGTGCTGCCATTTTCGGGGTACCCAGAGTAGCGTACCAAATTTGTTTTGCTATTGTCTGTTGTGTTTATTTAGCACGTGGCTTTGTTTGGAGGATGCACCAATTCCTCCACGCCTGCTCAAAAATTGGCATGCATTGGAGATGACCTTAGAGTTTCCAAAATAAATCATTCCAGTTTTTATTTGCATTGAGCCACTGGCCCTTGCTACCTTGAATGACTGCCAACATATTAATATTTATTTCAATTTGTTATGATGAGGTATGATTTTGCAATATGATCATTGTCGTTCTAAGAATTACTTCAAAATGCATTTATCCACCTACTCGGTCATATTATAGAAGTGGATGTCATGCCTAGATGGATGCGTGTATAAGAAGGAAAGGAGATATAAAAAGTGATGCTGTTGAAAGTGCAGTTCACACTGCTCCTACTGGAGACACATTGAAATAAAATAGATTATAACTGTTGGACATAATCAACATAGGTACATGGTTTGGCAAGAGAGGGTTTTGTAGGATGGTCGAGTGACGATTATGAAGGGATAAGAATGGTATAAGAAGCAATTGTTTGTTTCACTTCTAAAACCTAAGAATCATCAATCTAAACAGGATTGGCAGTGTAGTTTGGCCCCTTTGATATTAGTCATATTACTGAGTGGTTTGTTCTGTTATTTTGTTCCGTAACATGTGAAGTGGATTGTGTGAAGGTTGCTGCTGGGAAGAGGCTTGGTATTGAACAGCCCCAGCTTATAAAGATTTTGAAGGCAACACTCTATACACACAATGAGTGGTCCAAACTTCATATGTGCAAAGATCGTTTCGAAAGTCTTCTAAAGATTGATTCACTTAAAGATATCAGCAGTCACTCAGTTATAACTGCCTATTCTAAGTCAGATATTGACATGGGCACTCATGGGTCATCTCAACTTACTTCATCCTCAAGTAACAGGGTGCAAGGAGATGGTAGCAGCTCTGTGCAATCACCTACCAGGGATGTGGAATGTGATGAAACAGCGATAATTAAAGTTATGGTAAGTCTTTCTAAATTATTTTGATAAATTTTCCAAAACACGGGAAGAGTCTCAGTGTTATCTTTTTTGAGGTGCTGTTAAGGCAATCGTAAACTGATTCTGTAGTAAACTTAATCTTTTACCTTTTTTTGCTGCCCTACATTTTTTTCTTTTTATGCACTTGTGTTTTTGCTTACTGTCATACCCTTTACTGCACATACTAACTTTTTGTTGGTCCTGTGATCAACAACATTTCTACTCCTAAGGGTAAAAGTAAGGTGTGCGTACATCATAGTGTTTCCATACCCTACTCCAGAGTGATATATTGGGTACATTTGGCTCTAATCAATATGGTTGTTCCTGTTTACTGAACTAATTATGGATTTTATTCGTTGTTCCCTTGTTCTCCTAAAAAATATTTTTTTATGCTTTTGAAGGCATGGACCCACTTGAACTGATGGAAAAAACCCTTTTTAGTTAGTGCTAAATGTGTCCTGTTGACTAAACTGAGTGAGAAAAAAAGAGTCAAAGGACCAATTGAGTTGTGCTGTGCATAGTCAATAGACTAAAATAAGTATCGGATGGAAGAGAATATTTAAAATCTCGTGACGGACTAATTCATCATGGCATGTGGCCCCCTAAGTCGTAACGGCATGCATACGTGCTTTTTATGCTATGCACATGACAGGCATAGGTGGGTGTAGTGGCCTCGTTGAAATATCCTGCTTTGGTCTTCATTCACACAAAATCAACGTATGCAGGAATTTCTTGCATTGCCAAGAGCAGATGCAATTCATCTTCTTGCACAGTACGATGGAAATGCAGAGATGGTCATTCAGCAGATATTCACATAATTTGCCATTTGGTGCGTAGCTTAAATATTCTTTAATATTTTTTTATTATTCCGTATTTAATTGATTGGAACTTTAGATTTTTCTACATTTTCTGTCAAATTGCAAAGATGGAACTGGAATTGGATGCCCTTGCTGAAAGGAAATGCTTCTGAAAGCCAAGCCTGCAGCTCTATGTCTATGGTAATGGAAGAGCCTAAGTACTAGGGCTATATTTGCTTTGCAATATTTATGTGTTCATCACAGTTTCCAAGTAGAGAGATTCTATTGTGATATTCATTGCCTAAAATGCACTTTCAGTTATTTTCTTTCTTTCAGACATAGCCTTGTTTAGATGGGATTGACCAAGACTTGATGAAATGAACTGTGCTAGAGTGCCTCAAAATATAACCCGAGCAAATCGTCATACCCTTTTTGTTCACAAAGTCAAGAGCTCACATGGTGTCTCTGTGAAGTCCATGTCTGTGAGGCAAAGCTTAGGGTTCCATTTGAGGTTATTTTACATGTTTTTGCCCCTAAATTATCATATGGAAGCGTGGGAGAGTAGTCGAAAATAAGTTATATATACACTCTCATTTTTATTAGTGAAGTGTTGAAAAAGGTTAAATATGTTGCTTCTTTTTGTGTACTCCGAGTAATATTGTATATCTAATTTATCTCATATCTTTTGTTTTCTTCTATTAATTTCTTTCATAATTATGTATTTGAAGTATTTGGGAACTTAGACACAATGTGTAATTAGACCAAAACTAGGGTGCGTTGACGTGGAGGGTAGTGATCAATTTGTTACTCCATTTGTTTATCCTTCCTATTAATTTTTTTAACCTTTTGGTGTGTTATCTTCAATTTATAGTTTATACTACATTCAATTGCTACTAACATAATCAAATATTAATTTTATTTCATAATTCCACACCAATGATCAAAGAAGTTATGAATTTAGAACAATTTTATTCAAATATCATAAACAAGTCAACAATGAACAATTTAAATGGGAGTGGAAGGAGTATCATATTCAGCACAAGTAATATTTGTGGGAGTTGATGTTGGTTTGGGTTGGATTTATTATTCTAGACGGAGTCTAGAATAAGAACTTAAATCACAAAATTAAAAAAAAAACAAACAAGAATGTAAGTTATAGGCGTAACCGCTAATAAAATGTGTGTTCAATAATATAACTTAGAGATTACACGGCAGATTATTGGAATAAAAAAGTGGTATGTTCCTTAAGGACAAGGTATTTATAAAGTAGAAAGGAATTATTGTTCTCGTATGTGATCATTTACCGTACACATGTTAACTAACTCTAAGCAACTCTATCTATCTAGCTCTTCCATGCTTGATAGGTTCCATAAACTATCCCTTTAGCCCAGCTGCACCCCCCCCCCACCCCCACCCCACAAATCTCTCAGGGAATAGACCATGGCGATGGAGGGTCTCAATCTTGCGGTCCCAAGGTCTAATACAACGGAGAATGCTCGAGTACTCTCTTGGGACCTTGATGCTCTCTCTTCTTTCATTTCTTCATCCATCCCATGTGCCAACCAATAGTTCGACACTAAGTCCTTTTAGGGTTTGGCAAGGTTTGGTCAAATGAAATATCACGGACTTTGCCTCCGTGGCAATTATGAGCTTCTATGAGCAGGTAATCATCATTCTATCTTACTTTCTCATCCTCTCTTACAATGTTAAATTTCCTTAACGTAATAACTTATCTATTGTTGATTTCAATTTGGAGCTACCCTCGATGTGGATTTCATAGAGCCTTTCTTTGTTGGGGCTGTCCTTGCCAAGAAAGATGTACAACTGTAGGCATAGTTTTTAAAACCAGACCAGGGACCGAACCGGTGAAGGTATTGGTTCACTGGATCACTGGTCGGACCGGTGGTTCAAGTGGTCGAACCAGTGGTTCACGCATATTTAAAAATTCAATATATATATATATATATATATATATATATATATATATATATATATAGTTATTTATATAAACAAATAAAAAATTATAAAATAAGAGCTTATATTTTTTATTTTATAATTTACACAATATTTTTAAAATATTTAAATGAGTTAATAGTTTTGTGATATGAAGTTCATATTAGAATCAATTGCATCAATATTTTAGAATTTGAATCACAGTTTCAACATTATATTTTTAAAATTTCTAAACATAAAAAAAGTCTTTTTAGAATATGTATATTTGTTTATTTTTAAGAATGTACTCCCTCTGTCCACCATAGATCTTCCCAATAGCCCTTTTTCTTTGTCCACAATAGATCTTCTCATTTCATTTTTTAACAAGTAAAATACCACAACTACCCCCACTTACTTTATTTATTACACCTCACCCACCTCATTTAATACACTCCACCCATTTTTCATTAAGGGTATTATGGTAAACTTTCACCTTTTTCAACTCTCCTTAAAAACCACCAAAAGTCAAAATGAGAACATCTTAGGCGGACGGAAGGAGTAATATATAACAAATAATGTCTTCATGCAACAAAAGGGATGGTAGCTAAATGGTAGATAGCCGAACTAGTGGGCAGTAGGTTGTGTGGTCGAAACCCATTAGTAACAATTTTTGAGACATTTGTGAAAAAAAACTGGTCACCGGTTAAACCGGACCGGTTCCACCCGGTTCTTACCGGTTCTAGTCGGTTCGCACCGGTTTGGTGCACCTGCCGGTCTTTGGGGCTGGACCGGTACAGTTTGACCCCCGGTTCGTCGGTTCCCGTTCCGAACCGGCCGGTCCGGTCCGTTTTTTAAAACTATGACTGTAGGAAAAGGGATGGCTCCTCTAGGAGAATGATGATTGTATCCAATCTCTTCATGGCTGCCTCAAGTTTTGAAAATCTCTTTTCTGGAGGAGCAAAGGAAGACTAACTGTCACTACGGCTTAGTAAAAGAGGTTGGAGATCTTTGCCAACACATTGAAAGGAGCAGAGGACGAGTCCTAGAGATTTTTTGTTGACATCCAAAGACTTGCACTGTGTTTGGTTCGTGGATTTCAAAAAGAAAAGAATGTTGTTTTCTCTCATTTTCCTCACCGAAATTGAAGGAAAGTTTTTCTTTTCATAAGTTCATTTCTTCTTATATTTAGTTTCTTTCCACTTTTCTTTTTCTTTTCTAACTAACCAAACAAGAAAAGTTATACTGTTTTTTCCTTTCAAAGACTTCGAGGATGACTCCTAATACCAGCCCGCTGAAATTCTAAGGCTCCAGCTTTGAAGTTTGAAGAGATTTATGAGGGCTTGCTCCCACGCATTCACACACTCTGGCCCCTAAAGGATGGGGTCTAGCGCTTAAAAGTTGAAGTCCAAAGGATCTTCGAGGTTAAAGAGCGATGTCGGGTCCTCTCCTCCAAGGTTAAAGTTTTAGAGTGGTTGAACAAGACTCCCAAATGTTGGCTTCAGAGTTAAAGAGAGTTTCTTGGGAGAAGGCTTCCGCTTATATCCAAGTTTAGGAGCAAGGGAACACCATCCTTCAGCTAGAGAAGAAACTATAACTCCCAGAAGCTGAGCCTATTACAATTAATAATTAAGATTATTATATATATATTTAGAGGGATCGGAAGTGAAAATTAAAAAGGTTATCAATTGATTATGAAAATTAGACTCTTTCTTTCCGCCATAAATCTTCCTAAATGTCCTTTTTGTTTGTTCGAAAAAGATTTTCCCATTGCCTTATTTAACATTTTAAAGGCTAGAATTACCATCACTTTATTTATTACACCTCCCAAACTCATTTAAAATACTCTGCCCTTTTCCCTTAGGTACTGATTCGGAACTAGCATTTCATTTCAATTATTTTATTTTAATTCCAAAATTTGAATTCTTTAATTTCAAATGACAAGGAGATGCATATGGATTTGCAATTGAGTTTTTAATGACTTAGGATATTTGCCTCAAGTGCAGATTCAAATCTTAAAAATTTTCAAAATATAGAATTGGAATCCAATTTCTAGTTCCCAAGCATGTTGTATAGGTATTTTAGTAAACTTACACCTTTTTCAACTCACTTTATTAACAACAAAAAAAATAACTTTGCGAAAATCTATGGCGGATGGAGGGAGTATCGTTGTGTAGAGACAAACTGGTTGATCGCAACATTGCGATCTGATTTCAATTCAGAGCAAATAAGGTTGAAAAGTATATTTTAATCATGGTGCATTAATTAATTACAAAGCACAAAATCTTGATCCTATATATTACACGCATAGGCATGTGAACGTGCATTAATCGCAAGTATGCACCCTCTCTTTCTCACAACACCCTCTCTCTCTCTCTCCCTCTCACGAATCCCTCTCTCCATCTCTCGCACATCTATCCTATCATTGCCTCCATTCGTTATTTCTCCATTTTTTTTATTTAACTCTGTGTCGTATTTGAGGTGAGTGCGTGAACCTATCTAATGCTAAAATATGCATCTAGATTGAGTCTACTTTAATGATTGATTATCTAATGCTAGAATATGCATCTGTGTCGTATAGGCATTGATTGACCATTAAATGTGTTCAAGTTTGGATGTAAACCTTGCATGATGTCAAAATAAGTCTAACATTGCGTTTTGGGGTTGAAAAACTTGATGTCAATGGCACGTCTGAGTTCGCAACAAGATGCCAAGTGCTAACCAGAAGTTTGACGCTAATCCTTTTAGGGGTTTGGCAAGGTTTGGTCAAATGAAGTGTCATGGACTTTTCCTCCGTGGCAATTATGAGCTTCTATGAGCAGGTAACCATCAATTTATCCTTCTTTCTCATCCTCTCTTACATTGTTAAATTTTCTTAACTTAATTACTTGTCTTTTGTTAATTTCAATTTGGAGTTACCCTCGATGTGGATTTCATAGAGGCTTTCTTTGTCGGGGTCGCCCTTGCTAAGAAATATGTACAATGCCTGTTATGTCTCCATGAAATTTTGACATGTCTAATAGCTTCTCAATTTGTTCAGCATCTGCACTCTTCATCCATTTTTTTATAGCTTTTCAGTTGTGTGAGCTCATGTGTGAGGTTTGGCTTTTCTCCTTCAGCCTGTTCTAGTTGTAATGTAGCTTCATTAAGTTTTTTACGAAGGCTTTCCACTTCTTCCAACAATTGGTGTTTCTCCAGCATGTTTCTCTAGTTTACAATGAGTAATTCCACCCACTTCTCTTGTAGCACCGCAAGTTGTTCAGTTGGATTTTCTGTGACCTCATTATCAAGTTGGGTGGTGAATGCACTGTTACTGTTCCCTAGGACTTCCTCAGAGTCATCCTCATCATCACTCCAGGTTGATACGAATGCTTGTCGTTTTTTCTTGAGGTTGTTTGCACATTCTGATTGAATATGTCCAAATCCTCCACATTCAAAGCATTGAGGTCCTCTTTTAATGGATTTGTCAAGAGGAGACTAGCCTCCCTTGGCCTTGGATTCTTAAATTGGACTCCTTTTGATGATTCGGCCTGAAAATTTATTCTCCCTTTCTTCTGCATCCATTGCTTCTTAAACTGCTTAGTGATAAGAGATAGTTGCTCTTGATAGCCTCCATCTAGTGGAGTTTCATCATCTTCATCCTTTTTGTCAGCATGACTATGAAAAGAAATTTGTTTGACATTCTTTTTGTGCTTGAGTTCTTCATTCATTTGGAGCTCAATAGTCTCCAGATTTCCCATCAATTGATCCAGTGTCAAATTTTTAATGTCACGTGCTTGACAAATTGCTTTAGCATCCATTGCGTAAGTCTCCGGAAAAGCTCTCAGAACTTTTAGAACTAAGTTGTCTTCTGTAAAGGGCCTTTTAAGATTTTCAGCCTCATTTGCAAGTTCTCTTACTCTACCATGAAACTCGGCTATCTTTTCTTTGTCTTCCATGCGTAGATTCTCATATTTGGTCATCAGAATATGTATTTTAGTAGTCTTTACGCGTTCATCTCCTTCATGGGTGGTTTCAAGAATCTCCCAGGCTTTCTTTGCTTCAGTGCAGTTTGATTAGGGGTGTAAACGAATATTAATCGGATCGGATGCACCATTACCAAATCCGTATCCGTTTATTTTCATCGGATATCGAATTCGGATATGGATCTTAATGGATACTGAAAATCAAAATCGTATTCGCATCCGTTGGATATCGATCGGATATATCTGTATCCGTTTCTAATTTTTTAAACCAAATTAAACAATACTTTAATTTTCAATTAAACTAAATCAAATTATTATTAAATCAACTGTAATTTTTTTTGGGATAGTTAATTTCTTATTTTTTATAGTTTATGATATTATACGATGACTTCATGTCATAAAAAGATATACACAGTACATATATACACATATTTTTATATGTCTATACATATTTTTATGTGTTTATACATATATTTTGCATATAAAAATGTCTTATACTTTGATATATCAATAGAGAAATAAAATATAAAAATAAAAAATTAGGAAAAACTATATATAATAGATCAGATGTACGGATAAACAGTTATTTAAACTGATGTCAATGCAGAGTGGATTATAAACGGATCAGATGTGTGGTTACCAAATCCGTATCCGTTTAGCAATCAGATATCCTTAATCGGATACAGATAATGATCACTTTTAATGGATGCGGATATTTTCCATATAAATGAAAACAGCTGCAGACGATAATCGAATGTTTGGTTATCCATTTACCACCCTAAGTTTGATATAAGTTGATATTGTGAGCTGTCAACTGCACCAAATAGTGCATTAAGGGCTCGATCATTGCATTCAGCCACATAGGCTTCTTGCTTGGTGTATTTATCAAAGGTTTTAGTCACCTTTTCTCTTTAGGCATTAGTCTCTGTAGGTTCAGTCCAGCCAGTTTCGATGCTTCTCCACACACTGCCGCCTTGAAATTTTAGAAAGGCTCTCATGCGTCCTTTCTAGGAATTGTAGTTTGGTCGAGGTAACAGTGGCGGTCGTTGGACATTAGCACCTTCCTCCATATCCCCATGAGTGATCAAGCTAATGACTTAAGCTTAACCGCTTCGATACCAAATGAAATCATTGTAAGGATCAACAATGATCACATAGCAACAGATAATCTAAACAGTTCAACACGAAAATACCACTCTCACAATACTATGAGATAGAATCAATGCTAAAGCACTTTCTCTGTCTCAGGCAAGCACACAATAAAGAAATAAAAATAGTAAATCAAACACAAGAATTGTTTACGCAGTTCGGAGATCTCTCGTACATCTGCGGGGCCCACATTCGTGTAATAACCCTTCCACCAAATCATTGTAAAGATTACACCTTCAATCACTAATGGTACGAGCTAGTGGATTGAATCAATTTACTACAGATGACTTAAACATTGAACTTTGTTTGTGTTACATCCAGCGACTTATTACACCAACCTCGATAACTCCTGTTATTGGACGTGCTATCACCCCTTCTTCTAGCCCTTATAACTTCAACATCTGGATGATGAGTACTGCTCTCTCATCATAGAAGCGCAATCAGTATGCAGGGTAGCAACGATCTACTTGTGCATAAAGCAGCAACTTATCGGAGTCAATCAGAAGGATCCCAACATGGTTGTTGGACATGAGTTCAAACCCCTTTATTATTTTTCTGGAATATTTTTGTTTTGATAAATGACAAACAGGATGATGAAATTCAAACGATGATCGAAAATTTACTTTTCGTACCGAGAAAAGAAAAGAGGCGTATCAAGAAAGTTACAGGATAAAAATCAACGGTCCCCCAACGCAGTTTTTCGATGTGATGTGAAGACTCCGAAGACTTTTAAATTTTTATTGAGTCTAGGGTTCTTGTAAGGATGACAATATCTTGTGCACAAAACAATTTAATTTCTGAGGGATAAAAATTATTTTTGAGTCAGTTGAAAAATCATTTTTTCTCTGTCTAAAATATTTTAGTGAGTCAATCTCAAAATAAGTGTGTCAAAATTTCATTAAACATTTTCTTAAAGTTACACAATTTTCTTTGGTGAGAAAAATATACTTTAAATTTTTTTTCGTGTATTGTTTGACACACAAAATAATTTTTGGACTCTCTTTTTCTCTCCCCTACTCAAATTCATTGAATAAGGGAGATATAATCGTAGGAGCGCCTTCTTATTCTCGTTGTCCCAAACAACGAGTTAGAAGCCAAAGTGCTTCCAATCGCACTTGGCTTGGGCCCTTTGTGTTTGCGCATTATTTTCATTTTAATCGATTATTTCCTTTAAAATAATCGATTAGATCCAGCGCAATTT